CACCTCCTCTGTCCGGTGCTGGTGTGGTGTGAAGCGGACAGCTCAGCCGAGGCTGCTGGGGCTTCATGTACTGATCGAGGGAGCAAACATTAGTCAGTCCCAGGCTGAGCTGACTTGATCAAGTCTCTGCCTCTGGTGAGGAAGGGGGTGAAAAATCCTCCACCTCAGACGTTCAGAGATGTAACTATCTGTGTCGCTGTGGTCACTCTCCATGTGTCATAAATTATGGTAATGCTAGCTGTCACGTTCTCTCATCCTGGCCACACCTCCGCTCTCTACCCCCCACCCCCTCCCCTACCCACTTTGATGCATTTTTCAAATTTCGCCTTGGGGCAGAGTTATCTTTTCACAGGGGGGGTAAGATACACTTTAAACTCAGTTGGTCATGGCTGTTCTGTGAACTTTGTGTTTTTCTGCTGGGTTGTGAATTAACTCAAGGATTCTGCCACACAGAGTGCTGCTTGTTTATGTGCTGCTTTCCTTCTTTTGTCTCAGTTTTAATAACATTATGAGGCTTTGCGTGCGCAGCAGACCAGTTCGACAAAACCTTTCCACACAGAGGACGTAAACATCATCACTGTCATAGTTTTAAAGATGTTTTATTCCCCCGACTGAGCAGGCCGCATTACTTAGACAATTTAAAGTCTTTTCAGATTGGTCGTTGTTTAATGTGTTGCGTCTCAGCCAGCCTACAGTAATTACTTAAGTGCCATTCTTAAAAAAAATGAGATGAGCAGGAGGCTCGAAGCCTAACTGAGGACATTTGACAGTTTCACCAGATTACAATTCAGGCAGCGTAGAGTCGAATCATTCGATCTGCAACAGAAATGATTTATTCGCAGACACCCTGCTGCCAAAAAGGAATGTTCTTTATTTTATTTTATTTATTTTTTTTACACTAAAGCTGTCCCGCCGGGCAGACGGAGCGCAGAGAACCAGTCAAAGGGAGGAACAGGCCTCCTGCTTTAAGTTTCATCTGCTTTACAGCCAGTACGGCCCCTGAATGTAAATGCTGCTCTCAGGAACAGACGGGGAAAGTAAAGCAGCTGCAGTCAAACTGTTTATAGAAAGTTTACATGACCCACCTCAGCGTTCAGGAAGCAGTAAAGGACCGCCACCACGAAGCCCTGAAGAGACAGAAACACATGAAGGAGCCATGACATATTTGCCTTTGTCTTTACAAACTTACAAATAAGGACTTAAACTAACAGAAGAGAAGACATTCAGTCTAAAAAACACAATTCGTAACCGTTCCACACGTTTTATTTTGTATTTTATTCACCCAATCAGCTCTGATTAGGTATATCAAAATAAAACACTGTTCAAAAGTTTCTTTATACTTTGTCTCCAACAGCARCACTTTTAATCCTGTAAAGTACTCTTGGTTGGAAGTTCTCCAGTTTTTTTTAATTTTTAATCAGAAACTGTCTGTACAGTTTTGCTTTAGCTTTCGCTTTTAACTTAAGCTTTTGGACCTGACGCCATGTTTTGCAGTTTGTACTGAAAATATGAGAAAAAAGGAAGGTCAAGGTTAAAAAAATAAATGAATGGTATCTGAAAGTAAAAAAAAAAATCAAAACTTAAGCATCATCCTTCAGCTGACTGAACATTCAATCAGCTGACAGCACCATCTTGGTGGTAAAATGTTTTCAGTGTCAAACTGTAATTGGGGTAAGAAATAAATGACTAAATTGTGGTTTTAATGACATAATGCCTAAAAATACAGAAAAAAGCAAAAAGGCTAAACTCACTTATTCAGTCTTGATTTTATTTAATTTACTCACAAATTTGAGCAAATCTCAGATTTTGGTATGTTTTTTTCAACTTTTACAGTAGCCTTTTCAACAGTTTACATTAACCCATATTTTTTGTCTATCTCCCTTTTTGAGTTTTGATTTTAGCAACCTTTAGATAAAAACAAAATGTTTTGTTCCCCCCATAAATAAAATGTAATTTCTTCAACTTCCTCAAGACTTAAACAAAATCATTCCTCTGACAATGGTCAAAAAATGAGTGAAAATTTTGTAAAAGTTCAAAAAGGTACATGATTATGAGAATAATTAGCTGCTTGGAAGCAAAATCTGAAGAAACTAGGAATTATTAAAGACTTTATTTGAAGGAAAAATCAGGAATTTAATCTTAAAAGTTCTGAAGCGTTTCCTGAGCCATAACAGCTGGAAAATCTTGATATTTGTATTTTTGTTTGTTTTGTTTTCTTTCAAATGACATTACAAAAATCCTCATTAGAATAAAACAGAAGAATTATTCTGATTAACAAGACAAATAACCATMATCAGAATGATCCAAGTATCAAAATGTAGCTTCAAAAGCAAGAATTTGAACGGGTATAATATTTTACATATAAAATGTGTTTTTTTTTTCTTTACCTGAAAGGATCCTAGAATCAAGTCAAAAATCAGCCGTAGCTCCGTCTTCACTTGCTCCGGRATGAAAGCAAACACAATGAAGTTTATTCCAAACAGTGGGATCAAAAGCAGCGTGGATTTGGCCAGTCTCCTGAAACGAGAAGACAGAGTTTAAACATTTTCTGTCTCTCTGGGTGAAACTGATTTCCAATCCGTCTCTCTGAACACGCCAATAATGTGACTCTGAAGCACTTTTCATTTTAAGCTTCATCTCAGCAGAAGCAGCAGAAAAAGAAAACACCATTAAAAATGTCAGTGGGCGGAAAGCTGAGGCGTTATGGCTGCTGCATGAGACGCTCTAGAACCGGAGGGACAAGAATAGGAAAAGAAAATATGTTTCTATGTTCAAAGAAGAGTTGTCAAATCTGAGGTGGTACTTCAAGCTTTGTACAATAAGTTCAGTCAAATAGTCTTTGTTTACACTTTTATAGGAAGTCAGGAAGAAGTTTTCTTTTGAAGTCCTCATAAAACTAATAAAATAAGAAAATAAATGGATTCTTTTACTCACAAATACTGGTTGGACTCATTTCTTCCAATATCTGGACAGTTGATCTTCTGGCGAAGAATTCGAATGATGCAGATGAAAAGAATGTAGTTCATCTGTGGAGACGATTTAACAGAAGATGACTCAAATGAAGGTAAATAACATTTTAAATGGTAATAAAAGAGGTCGCATAAAGAGATACTGTATCTGCAACAGGTAAGATAATAATTATTTGTAACTTTTACACAAACTCTCAAAACAAGAAATCCATAAAATCTATAAAAGTCCACATTTTATTTAACACATGTAGATATGAAGCCATGTTTAAATCAGGCTCATAATGGAATCCTGAGGCTAAACGTCGTCTTCGGTTCTGACTGAATGCTTGAAGATAAAGATTTCTAAAAATTGTTGATTTGGGCCTCAGTCAAGAATGGCGGTTCCCACATAGTAAAATTTGTCTAGCCCAGTTCTGGCCCACACAGTACACACTTTGCCCAGATACCGCAAAGAATGACAGCCATTTGGTGGGCCAGATGTGGTTTGACAGAGGTGGTYCTTGCTTGGGACAGCACCACATAAAACAAATCACAACCTGGCCCAAATCTGTCAATACCACAACTGGCCCAGTTGTGRTTTGGTTTATGTGGCCCAAATCTCTCAATGTCACAACTGGCCCAGTTGTGATTTAATTTATGTGGCCCAAATCTGTCAGTGACACCAATGGTTCAGTCATGGTTTGGTTCATGTGGCCCAAATCTGTCAATACCACAACTGGCTCAGTTGTGATTTTGTTTATGTGGCCTAAATCTGTCAATGTCACAAATGGGCCAGTCATGGTTTGGTTTAGATGGCCCAGATTTGTCAATGCTATGACTGGTCCAGTTGTGGTTGGGTTTATGTGGTGCTGGCCCATGCATGGGCCACCTCTGGCAAACCACATCCGTCCGTCCGTCCGTTTTCTACCGCTCATCTGGGGTCGGGTCGCGGGGAGAGCAGCCTAAGCAGAGAGACCCAGACTTCCCTCTCCCCAGCCACTTGGGCCAGCTCCTCTGGGGGAACCCCAAGGCGTTCCCAGGCCAGCTGAGAAACATAATCCCTCCAGCATGTCCTGTGTCTTCCTCTGGGCCTCCTCCCAGTGGGACGTGCCTGGAACACCTCACCACGGAGGTGTTCAGGAGGCATCCTAACCAGAAGCCCAAGCCACCTCAACTGGCTCCTCTCGACGTGGAGGAGCAGCGGCTCTACTGAGTCCCTCCTGGATGACTGAGCTTCTCACCCTGTCTCTAAGGGAGAGCCCATGCACCCTGCAAAGGAAATTCATTTTGGCCGCTTGTATTCGCGATCTCGTTCTTTCAGTCACTACCCAAAGCTCGTGACCATAGATGAGGGTTGGAACGTAGACCGACCAGTAAACTGAGAGCTTCGCCTTCTAGCTCAGCTGTATCTYCACCATGATAGACCGGTACAGCGCCCGCATCACTGCAGACGCAGCACCAATCCACCTGTCGATCTCCCGCTCCATTCTTCCCTCATTCGTGAACAAGACCCCGAGATACATAAACTCCTCTACTTGGGGCAGGAACTCCTCCCAGACCCGGAGAAGACAACCTACCCTTTTCCAGCTCAAGACCATAGTCTCGGATTTGGAGGCACTGATCCTCATCCCGGCTGCTTCACACTCGGCTGCGAATTGCTCCAGTGAGAGCTGGAGATCACGATCTGATGAAGCCAATAGAATCTGCAAAAAGCAGCGATGCCATCCTAAGGTCACCAAAACGGACCTCCTCAACACCTTGGCCGCACCTAAAAATTCTGTCCATAAAAGTTATGAACAGAATCGGTGACAAAGGGCAACCTTGGTGGAGTCCAACATTTGACTTACTACCAGCAATGCGGACCAACCTCTGGCACCGGTCATACAGGGACCTAACAGCCCATATCAATGGGTCTGGTACCCCATACTCCCAGAGTAGCCCCCACAGGAGTCCCCGAGGTACATGGTTGAACGCCTTCTACAAGTCCACAAAACACATGTAGATTGGTTGGACGAACTCTCATGCACCCTCCAGGACCCTGCTGAGGGTGTAGAGCTGGTCCAGTGTTCCACGACTAGGACGAAAACCACAGTGCTCTTCCTGAATCCAAGATTTGACTATCCAACAGACCTTCCTAATCCAGGACCCCTGAATAGACCTTATCAGGGAGGCTCAGAAGTGTGATCCCCTATAATTGGAACACACTCTGCGATCCCCCTTTTTAAATAGTGGGACCACCACCCCAGTCTGACAGTCCAGGGGAACTGCCCCTGATGTCCGCGAGATATTGTAGARTCGCGTCAACCAATGCAACCCCACAACATCCAGAGCCTTAAGGAAGGTGCCTTGCCACCGAGGAGCTTTTTAACCACCTCAGTGACCTCGGCACCAGAGATTGCAGAGTCCGACCAAGGGTCCTCAGGCTCTGCTTCCTCATGGGAAGACATGTTGGTGGGATTGAAGAGGTCTTCGAAGTATTCCGCCCGCCGACCCACAATGTCCCGAGTTGAGGCCAGCAGCGCATCATCCCCACCATAAACAGTTTGTGGCGAACTGCTTGCCACCCCGCCCCACCCCCAAGATGCCGGATGGTGGACCAGAATCACCTCGAAGCTGTACGTAAGTCTTTTTTCATGGCCTCTCTGAACTCCTCCCATGCCCGAGTTTTTGCCTCAGCGACCACCCGAGCCGCAATCCGTTTGGACTGTTGATACCTATCAGCTGCTTCCGGAGTCCCACAGGCCAAAAAGGCCCGATAAGACGCCTTCTTCAGCCTGACAGCATCCCTCACCGCCGGTGTCCACTAGCGGGTTCGAGGGTTGCCACCACGACACCTCTGGCAAACCACATCTGGGATGCCCAATCATTCTTTGTGGTATCTGGGCCAAGTGTTTAGCCCATTGTGTGGGCCAAAACTGAGCCAGACAAACTTTGCAATGTAGGAAATCTCAGTTTTCAGAAAACAAGTAAATAATAATGATAAGAAAACTTTTCTATGTGAAATGAGAATTCTGGCATCAGTTCATCTTCTCTGTGCTGAAGTTTGTGAGAAAGACAAGATAAATATTTTACTTTTTGCAGAAGTTGGATAAGTTTGATGAAAAAGCTCAAAGTTTCTCTGATGTAAATGATAAAAAGAATCATTCTAACTTTTATAAACTTACAAAGATTGACGCTAAAATGGGGGTTTTAATAATCCACCAGAACACGTCAGTGTTTTCGATAATATCCCAGCACCTGGTGAGACATAAAATAACTGTTTTATCTGTAGAACGTGACAAATCAAAGGGAGAAAATGAAAAGATTTGTTTGTCTTACCCTACATCATTATAGTAGGCTTTAGCAATGCTCCAAGCTGTGATGAAAACTGCTGGACCCCCTGAGGATGGAGTATATAAATACATACAACCAGAATCCAAAATATTATTTCATTTCTCTGTTTTCTGCAGGCGCTCGATAATAGCACAGAAAATAAAACAAGAAAAGTGGGGGCTGGTTCTCACCCCAGCCGATCAGAATGTAAGCCCAGAAGTATTTCCTCTCGGAGAAGAAAGACACGGCCAGCAACGCGTGAAGATAAAGACCCTCCACCAGGAGCCAGAAGAAACTGGCCATAATACAGTACTGAAAGAACACAATCACCGCTTTGCAGCCGACCTAACAGTGGACACAAAAGAAACAATTTACAGCTTTCACATTTCCCAACACTTTATCTGACGTATCAGACCAAGGTCCGGACACAAAACAGTCAGGTGAAAAGTTCATACAGGACGTCTAACTGAAGGACAACAAGGAAGTTACAAATACTGTATTTCTCAGATTCTAAAAGCAAAAAAGTGATTTCTGTCTTCCTCCAACAAAAAGACAAAAAGTGCAGAAATGTTCCCGCAGAGAGAAAATCCAAGAGTTAAACCCTGAAACCAAGCAGAGGGACACAATCTTCTGGGTGGCTGATGGCTCAACGGGAGCAAACTTCAATCAGAGTGGATAAATTCRTTCAAAATTCAGTCTGTTTCCTCTTAGAAACATGCTGGGAGGGTTGGTCCGGGTTAGTGTGGAGCACAGAGGAACATGTGAAGAGGTTAGAACTGATGGACTGTGAGGAAGAACAGTCTGAAGCTTTCAATGTGGACTGAAGTGTAGAGAGAAGAAATTAAACTAAAGAAATAAGGTGGGAGGGAGCCAGAGACATAAAACTGTTTGTGTCTTTTAGAGATTTAGGTAATAAAACACAGATTTATGCTGAAACATTAAAAAAAATCAAGTAACGTGCTAACAATTTCAATACAAACAGCCAACCAGTGAGTGATGATCCAACAACYGAAAACTTGTATTTTTAAACAGAAGAGCTAACAAGAATCAAGAATCTTTAATAGTTTAATGTTGGAGGACCTCATGCACATCATAAAAGACACATTTGATAGAAAAGCTGCAGCTGATATTGAAATGTAGATAAAGTAAAACACCAACACACGTACAATATAAACCAGTATTACGGTAGTTCTAATGGAACTAAATGGAAGGAAAAAGGAAAAAACTGTTCCAGTAAATCTGTCGGTGTAACGCCTCTTTAGCATATCTCTAACAGCAGCTGGCTCCTGTCAAGTGTCAGAGTTTTAATAAGACCAGATCTGGACTGAGATCTAATGAAAACACTCCGAGGCTTCGCTTGTTGTGTGGCCAAACTCAGGAACTTCAATCCTGAGCCTGATTGTGGCCCGAAGGATCTCTGCTCTGTGGCCGAGAGCCATGTGGGGGCTTAAATACAGCTTATTTGAGAATAAAGGGTGGGGAAAAGAAGAATGGACGGTCTGTAAGGTTCACATATTTAGGAACTGTTTTGTGTTGTGTCTGTTTTAGTATCAAAAGGAAATTWAAAAACTTAAAATGTTTCAGTTTGATGATTTCACGATTAAATGAAGCGGTTGTGACGAGAGTCAGCTCATCCAGAGCCRAGAAATCATCTCATTGTCGYAGTTACATGATGAAAATCACATCGTTTTGTATGCAGAGCAGATCTGTCCCCGAGGCCCGGGCTAAACTTCGTCTCACAGACAAATGTGCTGAGTTTTGTGTGATTGGTTGGGAGTTTGTTGCTGTGTTTGTTCATGCAGTAATGGCAGCATTTTAGAACTGTTGTGCGTTCAAACAACATGGCTAGTTTTGGGGAGTACGTGCATCCCTATCAAGACACTTATAAATATGATCAACTGGTCAAAGACTCACAGATGGAGAGGTCACAGATGCTGTGAACAGAGGRATCTGTCTGCTGAAAAATGTGGCGCTCTTTTTCCATGACTGATATGTGGCCAAATGATGGATATCAAAGTGGAGACTCCAGTGGAAAGAAATGCTGTGTTCAGCAGAGGGAGGGGTTACCCAGGAGTGACCAGGAGTCGACTGTTTGGCGCTGGGCCATTAAACGGGACATATCCTGCTTTTAAATCTWTCCTTTTTCACATTTAAATCATTCAGTTGGTGTCTATATAAAGTGGAACTGCAATGCTTTGGTCTGATTTCCTCCCTATTGTAACTCCACAAACCCCTCTTTCAGCTCTTTTCTGAGGTGTGTCYGAGAGCATCTCATTTTGAGGCTGTCTCTTTAAATGCAAATGAGGCATTTAAAACCCCACCCCCCTTCTGCCATTTTTGTAGTTCGATAGCAGATATTCGATTATCTAGGAAGRCAGATTAAAGGATGTCAACAACGAAAGACTTGTCCATCCAGTTGTAGCTTCAACATCTATGAACTGGCACTACAAACTTTCAACAAAAAATAAAAATGGCGGATTCGCCARATTGSTTAGTCCGAAGTCCATGACCTTGTTTAGCAGTTCAAGGTTCAAAAAACATCAGAGAATAAAAAATTAAAAAAGTTTAGTAGGGCTTTTTCTTCTTCAATGAAACTTTTTTAAGATTACTGAGATGCATCWGGACGCCATGAAGAGTAGAGAAAACTGAAAGGGATGAAAAATATGACCCAAACAAAAWATAAAGATATCTMCGCAGCAACAGGAAAAACTAAATTGAAATTGTCTGCACTCCTAGAGACTCAAAGTACACAACAAWATGTATTTACGGGCYAAAAAWCATGGATTTTGCAGGATATGCTCCTTTTAAGAGACAGGGGAGGAGCTCTATCATCTGTGGGTGGAGCTTGGAGTGGTGCCACTGCTGCTCAGCATCAAAAAGGAGTAAGTTATGGTGGTTCAGGCCTCCTGGATGCCTCCCTTTGGATGGATGGATGGATGGATGGATGGATGGATGGATGGATGGATGGATGGAGACATTGCTTTCTTTTTAGGTAGAAACATTTACTACAGTATATTACATTTACTTCTACAAATTATTTCAGAACAAAAGCCCATTATCAATTGGCCCCATGTTGGATCAAAGAACTCACGGAGCCAGAGGAGCAGTTGTCCACCTCCCCGACCTCGTAAAGAACCACGTCTTTGATGAAGACGGCGATCGCTTTTAAGATAAACGACACAAACAGATGCATGTGGATGTAATTCCTCGTGCAGTGGAGTTTTCTGCAGCAGACAGAAGAGAAAAACAAAAATACAGACAAACAAATCAGTAAACAGGGTCTGCGTGTTAATTGTTAAAATATCTGAGAGTTAATGGTCCAGAATGACACTGAATTAAATTATAATCAGGTCTCTGAATTCATTTGTTACTAAGTGGGTGCATCCACTTCAGCGCAGATTGGAGGCTTTTTATGGTTCTTTACACATCTCAACAACACAGACTAGAGAGGTAAATTTTAAAATGCTTTTGAAATGTACAATTATCCAAATATTTAATACTTTTTACCTCCTGATTAAATTATCATTCTTGGATAGATTAAATCATTGGTAGGGATGGAAAGTGGTGTAAAGTTTCTTTCTTTTCTCTGCACATTCTGTCCCCAGAGCAGGAAAAACATTTATTTCTGGCACTAAAGCACATTTCAAATAATTTAATGCCCCCACCGGAGGCATTACGTGTTCATTTTTCCTCATCCACAGCTAGTACAGCTTGTTCACGTTCTGTCACAGCTGCATAAAAAAACCCCACTATTGTTACACACCATCATTGTGGTTTGTTATCAAACCGTCTTTTCTGGGGTGGTATGGAGGTTAGCAGCATGAACTGAAGATTTTCTGTGTGGAGGTGGTTGAAAGCTTTGTGTGGGGTTTCCTCTCTGGATACTGAATGATTGGACTTATTATTATTATTGTTTTGYGAAGATGTTTTACCCAATTTAAACTAGAAAGTACCAAGACTAAAAAAAAGCTTCATGGATGAGTCAAAAATCATCTTTAAAACAAAMGAAAATGAATCATTTTGTTGATCAAATCTTAATGTCTGGTCAGTTGTGGGCACAGCTAAACAAATAGTTAGCTTTGCTAACTCATAATCCACTAGCTAAAAATATAGCTTACGAAAAAAATAGCTGAAGCTAATGCTAACCACTGTCGTGAATGTCACTCAGCCTGCGTTACACGTCTTTGTCTACTTCCAGGCAGCTGAAGACMAGTGTTAGGGTGTTAGTTAGCTGTTAGCAGGCTTAAAATTGGCAAAAACTAATTTAGTTTATGCTAATTAGTGCGCTAATGATTTTCAAATTTAGAGAAAAGGCTAATCTGCTCATCAACAAACAGCAGCAGAAACACACTGAGGTCGTCAAAGTGGATGAGTTAACATGAGTTAAACTCAATTACTTAAAGCCGAGATCCTCCAACAATCTATCTGCAACAGGTAAGATACTTATTGTTCATAGCCGTTCCTAAACATGCAGCCTAAAATGATCTGTACTATCCTTTTAACAGCAAAATGTCACAAACATCTTTAAAATAAAATTAATTTCAAGAACCACAGACAAACCCTTAGTCCTACATCATTGTAGAAAAAGTTCTACTTTTGTTGTGAAATCCTGTGTTAAAAGTTAAAAAGTTAAATGAAAAAGAAAATTAACTTTATTCTGCACAGTCTGATTTTCGTTTGAGCCTCCATGTGGTGTGACTAATCTTCCTGCAGCAACATTCAAGCAGCTTTCAGCACATCCTCAACATATTAAACAGAAAATACATCAATCATTTTATAAGCCCCGAAGACCAGGACGTGTCCACTAAAATCAGATTAATCAAGTTTGAGTGACAAATCGAAGGATTTATATTTCACATTTTAAAACAAGCTTGATTTTTGTTTTTGGCTGAATGTGAACTGTTCTAAGACTGACAATCTTTCTTGAATATTTGACCCTGGAACAAATCATTTGTCTTGTTTTTCATGTCACCTCAAACCACCAGGTTAGTATCAATCTTATGTTGTAGCCGAGACCCGGAAATACGCATTTAAAATGTTTTTTTTTCTCAACAACTGACATCATGGTTCATCTTGAAGGTGCTAAAAGGTCACTTGGGGAGAAAATTTAAACCCTTACAAGTCATATTGGGAAGAAAAAACAAAGTCTGATGGATTTGACTCTAATCTTTGTCTTTGTGGAGGAATATTTAGCTGAATGACTGATTGATACAATCTTAAAATATGATTAAACTTAAAGATGTAAAACATCAAATCTTGTTGTTGTGATTGGAGATAGTCTTATTCTCATGGATATTTTATACTGAAAGAGAAACTGCTGGGGCAGGGAGAACAAGGCACACTTCTACCAAGTCAGTGCAGTCACGGAGAGCCGCCTATGTCTCCTCGCTGTCGCTTTCAAGCCCAAAAAAATGTCCAGTCTCCATCCACAAGTTCTTTATCTTATGAGTTTTGGAACAGTTGTAATGATGGCTGTTTTCTAACAGAAGAGTGTTATTCAAGCCATCTGTTGAAACGTCCTTTATTTTTTCATATCACAATACATATTGCAGGGTTAGAAAAAAAATATTAAAATTTTCCGATACTGTGCAGCCCTAGCAGGGGAGTTACACATCCACGTCTCACTTCTTGTGAATCAAAAACCAGACTTTAATCAAAGGACAAGCTTAAGTGTTGAACTAGACCCCCTCATCTTCACTTCACTTACTCCACAGGTTCATCATTTTCTTTTTAAACGTGGCAACAAGTTGAAAATCATGCATCTCCGATGGAAACCAGCAGTAGTCTGTGATATTTTTACCTACCTGAAGACGCAAAGGATGACGATAGCGGTGATGAGCGAGACAAGGGAAACGCTGTGCCCGATGGTGTAGCCGATCTTCACCTGCCAGAAAAACTTCCCCTTTAAGAAGAAAAAACATCAATGTAAACTGTATTTATAAAGGTTAAGCCAAGTGTTAGTTAGGTAAAGTACCTGTAAGTAATCCAGAAAGGATGAAATTACATTTTATTTTAAATGTTTACAACTGAAGAAATTTATGGTTATCAGAGATTAGCACTGATGTTAAAAGCACAACACTATACTGTTAGGTTTTCCTTTTATAATGTTGACAATGTTTAATCTATTATGTTGTGATTGACAGATTAGTTACATGTCCGAATTATAAACAACACATAATTAAAACGTTATGACATTAGGTGAGAATTTTGTCTGAATGCCTGTGATTCAGCCGTAGGTCAGTAGGGGGTGAACACGGGCATTGAAGACCATGTATAAATGGATGTACTTCCTGGTTTTCGGGCAGTGTGGTTTCCTTGTCAGCCGGTGGCAATAAAACCTCACTCGGTTCCAGAATTCTGGTTTTGTATGGTTTTATTCCTTCTATAAATCATTTTATTTAACATTGGTGGTTTTCATGTTGACTTCAGTCTTTGAACACGTATTTTTTCTTACAGTTTTGGTGACCCCGACGTTTGGCTGAAAGTCGAGAATCTGTGTTGGGGCTTCGACTGCTAGCATTGCGGTGCGGGCCTTTGTAATCGATGTACAGGTGCAGGAAACAGGTGAGCAAAATCATTTTTGCTTTCCATCTTGTTAACCGAACAGAACGGTGTGGCGATCGGTGTTTTCTGCGGGCTGGGCTGTGTGTCGGGGAGTTGAAACAGCCCCGCTAAGTATTAGCGTTGCTAGGCTAAGGCTGTGTGTCAGCTTAGCAACAACAACGTGTCGTTCGGCATAGTCAAAACATATTCTTGAACTCAGGTCATTAGGTTGAAACAAAATTTTCAGGTTAGCCTGATTATGTTTTTGAAGCTGATGAATCAATAAGTTTTGACAAGGATTTCTGTATTTTTATGTCTATTATTATTATTACTTTTTAAGGGAACTGTAGTAGCTCAGGGGTCGGTTCGTAGTCTTGTATTCTCGAGGCTGCTGGTTTGAGCCCAGGTTGCATCAGGAAGGGTAAAATAGTTCCAACTCTCTTATGTGAGTTCGCTTCTACCCCTGCAGAAGGTAGCAGCTGAAAGAAAAACATTTTTTGTTTTCATAAGTAATTTGCAGGTCTACAATTGTTGTTAACTCTTTAATTAAGTCAGTTTCTCAAGATTGAGGTCTTCAAATAGCTATCTGTAACAGGTAAGATATTAATGGTGCAAAATGTTTGCATAGAACCTCACTTTAAAAGACACAGTGTTTAAAATCAGTCCAAAGGTATTCAATGGATTTACAGAAAAAAATTCTTGGTTTTGGCTTTGCTTGTGTTCGTGTCATGGTGCTGTCTGTGGTTGATGAAAATAAGATTTGAAGCTTTGCATCCTGCGGTACAAGAAGACACGGCGTATGCTGAGGGATGGACATCAAATTCCTTTTAGAGTCCCCGACTCTGTGGATCTGTGACTGAATCCCTGTGTGGCATACTAATGAGACTGCCTCTGTGACTCACAGAGCCCACTGCCCACCAAGAAAGCTTTTACTGCCGAGCGGCGTTCATCCACTCTTCACCTTCATCAACACAGACAAGATTAGCTCTCTGCACCACAACAAACACAAGTAAGACAACACGCAAGTATTTATTACCCTCCAACCCCGAGTCGTCGTGAATAACCTCTCATAATGTCTGATAACAAGCAGGACTTCACTTCGGCCCCTAACCTTGTCACTAAAATGCGTTTGCGCTTAAATGATGCTTCGACAAACAGCGAGGAGCGTCTACTTATGTTCATTTTTAATGATGCCAGAATATTCTCCCCTCTTTTAGTTCATGAATTGTTTAGTTTAAACGAATAAAAATCTTTAGAAACACATGAACTATTCAGAAGCAGCTCACAGGCGAGTAAAGAAACAGTGTCATCATATTTATGCCTGGTTTTATACAGAAAAAGTGCTGCTTCTTACATCTTAAATGGATCTTAGACCACTGTCACGTTGGCCTTGATATGGGATTTCTCAACCACTTTACTAAAAGTTGCTGTTTTTGACACATGAAAACTTGTAATTACTTAAAAAAACTGTGTTTTTCACACTTCACTTAGGAATGTTGCTGTTTGTCAAGGACACAATGCATTCTGGGAACGATATWGATAGGTTACAGTTGAAACAATCAAATGTGATGCTTAAATTAGCTCTGGTGCTATCTCCATGTAGATTAGCTCTAAAGCTAATGTCATACATATTTGCACGAGAACTCTATATTTATTAACTGGAGCTAACACTATGCTTTTAAACTCTGGTGCTAATGCCATATTAGCTCAAGAACTAACACTATTTCTAATAACTCTGGAGCTAACACTATATATTTAGTCTGAAGAAATATGGAGAAATTATATTCTAATATTCTGAAGAAATTTGGAGAACTATAAGTGAATTCATGCCAATTGTTTTTTGAATTGATGTCTTTTTATTTTTATTTCATTTTTAAATGTTTTAAGTTGTTTTGATTATTTGTTGTATTTTTA